TTTTTTTTTTTGGTCTGTTTTTTTCTTTGCAGTTGGAGGTGTCACAGCTAGAGGGCAGCCTTCAGCAGCCTAAGGCTCAGTCTTCCATGTCTCCGTACCTGGTGCCAGATACAGCTGCTCTCTGCCAGCATCTGAACCTCATCCGGCAGCTGGCCAGCAGCGGCTGCTTCATCATCATCATCCCACGGACAGGTCAGTGCACTGCCTCACCCTCGGTTTGTCCTGAGCAGCATGTTGTGTTGTGTTCAGGCCCCTGTGTGTAGCATTTGCCCCACCGATATGGCCTCAAACAAGGAAGATGGTCATTCAAAGATTTTAATGAACTGGTTATTTTTAGTTGGTTAATACATCTGTCTGCTTTCAGCCACTTATGCAGGTCCAAGTCGCATTAATAAAATCAATTATGTCATTCATTAGGAATTATTGTTACATACTGCAGCTAAGTACAAAAAAAATTAAGTAACTCTAAGCCTTTTCATCATACTTCAGACTTTGGCTGGTATAATTGTTAAACAGGTAATTGCATAACACCATTATTAAAAAGGTCTTAAAGGTCCCTGGTATACTCAAACACATGGCTAGACACAAGTTTGTTGCAAAATAAGGGTAATTACTGCAGCCATTTAGCCTTAGGTTTTATTAATCTGAAGTTTGCATGTCCAAAAGTCTTTTTAGTGTAATGGCTTCAAAACCCAATATTCAACCTAATTTAGCTTTTCTTATCTCATCACAGATAGATGCTTCTTTCTTATGTTTGGTGCCGAGTATTATGTCACACTTAACTGCACGTTAAAATATTAGTATTTTGTTGTTTGTAATGCACAAAACTACAAAAAGTCTAGAAGTCATGTTGGTGCTGAGACTATTAATTTGTTAACAATAAAGCAGTAAACGGACGTTAAAACCATCTTCAGTAGTTTTGATAATAAATTAGTTGATTAAATGATTTATCAAGCAAAGTAAAATAGCAGATATTTGTTGCTTTCAGCCTCTCGTGATGATTTGTTTTTTGTCATTTTTTTGGCACTTAAAAATAATAAAAATAACCAGTTTAACGATTATTTTTATTGATTCATAGAATAAAAATAATAGGTTCATTAATAAGTGATTAGTTGTATGACTAAACATGTAACTAGAGGTGTGACAGCTCTGGCTTGAAGATACTTGACTCACATAATGTACCAAGCTGCTGTTCAGGGCAGTAAAAACAGAATAGCAGCTCATAGATTGTAAGTCTAACAACGTGCCAGTTTGAACACTCGACTATGGCAATGACATAAAATCTAGATTTTTCATTTCTGATTAAAATTCTAACAGGGAACCTGTGTCAGTCTGTTTGCTGATATGACTGTTTGCTCAGGTGCTTTATCTGGACTACTTCTGTGTTGTAGTGATTGATGGACTTGACAGGTTGAAGAAGGAAATTGCCGGAGCGAGGGATGGCATCCGTTTCTTGGAGTCTGAATTTCGCAAGGGCAACAGGTGGGTGTTTGTATTACATGTATGATGACTGACGAGGCTTCCTGCTGCACTTTTTTAGTGAGGGATGTGATTTTTTTGTTTCCAACGATATGTTGAACACAAACACTCACTTTTACTCCATAAACACTTTTAATTTGGACATTTTCTTAAATATTCTGTTTCACGTCTTTCTGTAGGTACATACGCTGCCAGAAGGAGTCGGGTCGAGGTTTTGAAAGAGATAAACTGAAACGTCAGGACATCGAAGCCTGGTAAACTATGCTCCCCTTCTACAGTAACCTCCTGTTTGTTCTCTGCACATACTCTTTGGAGGAGTATGACCTCTATTTTGATTGGTCCTCTTTTTTTATTTCAAGGCATTTATACAAGATGGTGGACAGCTGTCGTCAGTTAACAGTCTCCCAGAGCAACGGAGATGAAGATACAGCCGGCATGGTGACCATTCTTACTGGCCATGAAGTGGACGAACTTTGCACTCGGTCAGCAGCAATGAAGGTCAGTCACTCAATCTATTTTGTCGCATTACAGACAAGAACAAACACTCAGGAAGTTGACATTTTCCACCAAGACTAGTAAAGCTTAATGGATTTGAGTTTCTGCTCTATTTTTGCTATAGTGCTGTCTTCACTGGACTGTGTTTATCTCTGCTTTGTTCCTGTTCGAATTTAGTTTTTACATGGTTTATAGCACTACAAGATATATTTCTTCTTTAGAAATGTATCTATGTTGTAGTAGTATCTAATTTAATCAAGGAAGCAAGCGTACTGTCAGCTTTAAGTCTTCACCATCAGTTTTCATACAGATCCTACAGCCAGTCATTTTATATGGACAAAATATTATTTACAATGAACTTTTAGACTCTGTTGATGTTTAAAAAATGACATTGATTTTCCTGATGAGGATGAAGAGTAGAAAAAAGGTAAAGATTTATATGAAACCCCAAGCAATGATGCACTTTTGTGCTGACCACATGCAACATTTGTGATGGAAAACATGTTTGCCTGTTTGCTAACCACTGATAAGTCAGCTGGGCCAATAATACAATCTGGTACAATATATAGGCTGATATTTGTTTTTTTTATTAACATTTGACTATGATCCCATAGATTTTAACATAAAATATTAACTGGTATCAACCTCAAAAATCCATTATCAGTCGGGCTCTAGCAGAAATGCAACCATTAAGGGTTCAATATACTTCAAACGACCTAGTTTGTGTCATCTAAACACATCTAACAGCTTTAAATGTTAATGCTTGTTTCCGAATGGCCACACTTAAAGGTAGAGCAAAAAGCCTGCCGTAATAGAGAGCAGTGAGATGTGATTAATCTTTCAAATGTGGATAATGGCGCACACTTTCAGACAGTCTCTCCTCGAAGGCGCTCATGTTGTTCACCTTCATTTTACACATAAAAAGTGATAGTGTGTGAAAAACGCCTAAGAAGAGAAATACCTGCACACACAGCCAATCAATGCATGACGCAGGTGTGATTTTCAGTTTGAGAAAGTGCGAAATTCCTCCTTGGTTTTGATCAGAAGATGCTTTTTGGCACTTCAGACACCTCAGACTCATGTTTGTATTTATTTGTTTATGTTTTTCTCCCCTGCCAGTCGGCGATTCAGGCAGCGGGCTCGGCGGGCATGGAGCTGAAGAACATCGTGGAGTTCTACCGGCAGTGGAAGGAGATTGGCTGAGAGGTCAAACGGGGGCAGCTGTCTGCGCTGCGAACAGCTGATCGATCACAACACTCGCTCCCTCTCTCTCTCTCCCACTCTTTTGCTCTGTGTGTATCTGCGTCTCCAAAGGCAAAAACCAACTCAAAAGAAAGCTGAATCGAAGGAAAGAGTTAAAGCTTAGAGGGGTGGAAAAGTTAAAACAGTGGAGTAAAAAAAAAAAAGAGAAATGCGGGCGAAACGGCGCTATAAGAAACAGCAGATCTCCCACCTCCCACTCCCAATCCTAAACATAAAGAGTGACCCCAAGTGGTCGGGGTGCGGAAACGGTGGGGGAACGCTACACAACTTTTAAGTGCCCCTGGTTCACACCCTAACCAGGAATACACTGTATATGTTAGCAAACGAGTACATACGTGTCGAGAGAGAAACCGCACACACACACATAAAAACATTCATGCTCAGATGAATCCATATAGATATTTAGAGCAGTGGTTTGGATTTCTGTTCCCTCCTCCCCTTTCCCTTCAGTCTGTATTTGAGAAACAGGGTTAAGAATGTGTGAGTCTGGTAGGGCTGCGTTTTGGAAAGTCAAGGGTGTATGACGCCAACTTTTAAGACAGAGAAAACACGCTTTGTCCAACTGACACCCGAGGCTTCCAGCCTTACAAAACAAACCAAACGTCTCATAGCTCATAGGCCTCTAGGAAGGGTTGAGGAAGACAAAATTACATTTCTCCAGTTTCTTTCCTTTGTGGCTTTTTTTTTTTTTTTTTTTTAAATTGGTTTTGTTTTTCTTTATTTGCGGTGTACTTTTGTGACCAGTGACTTATGTATTGTGCTGTCTCTGTATGAGAAAAGACAAAAAAAACATGACAGGTGTTGCCCTGTTAAAAGTTTTAATTTGGATTTTATTTTTGTACCCAAATGATGTTTATTTTGCTTTTTTTGTAAGCTAAATCTGAATGAAATATGCAAGAATGTTTAAGGGAAAGGGAAGGGGTTTGTTGTCGTGTGTTGATCCACTGAACAAGTCCTTTAGTTCTGAAAATTTAAAAAAACCTATACTCCAGAATTTATTTAACAAGGTGTCATGTTAGAGGGAGGAGGGAGGTAGAAGCTGATTAGCCTCATGTTGTAGCTAGTCATTAAGGAGGTTCGGAAGAGGAGGGGGCCAGCTGACTTTCCCAGAGGACTGAGGGTTGTGTTTGGACCCCTGTAAACTCCTAAAATGTGTCCCATCTCATCATCATTTCCATAGTGACTGTCCCATCATGCACAGTGCAAAAGAAAAACCAGTATATGTGTGTGGCCATGCATTGAACAATAAAAAGAAACTCGTATAAGATGATGACTCCTGTCTTACAGTCCTCTGCTTGATCTCTTTCTTGTTGGGTGAATAACAGCTGGTGCTGAAATGGTTAATCATTATTATCATTAATTAATTAAAAGATAATTCCTGTAACTCCAACTGTACTTATTGGTCCTGGTCCTGGTCTTGGAACAAGCAATTTGGAGACATCCGCTTGGGCTCGGAGGGCATTTTTCACTATTTTCTGACAGACAAAACATTTAGGTGTTACCTCCATACTTAACCTGAATCTAAAATCTTTCCAGTAAACCAAAGTGACCAGAATTCTTTCAGCTCCTCGTGTCAGTTTGCAAAGATCCTGTCTCTGCTTCCTCTTTCAAACTAGGTCTGCCTGTGCCATTCTTTCCCTTTTTCCTTTTTTGTTTTTTTTGTGTTCCTCTCTGTCCCGGGCCCCATGCCCACCACTGACCAAACACACAGAATAACCAATCCCCTGGCAGCAGGTTCAGTGCCACCCCAACAGAAGACCCCTGACACTGGTGCTGGCCCAGTTTTTGCTGGGTAAGGGGGTTGGGAAAACCTCACTGACCCAAGGCAATCCTCTCTCTGTGAGCCCATGAAGCTGTGGGGCTGCAGGGACTTCAGATAGGACGGATTGCGCTGCTGGGACAGGATGAGAGATTTAAACATACAAGAAAACCATTAAGTAGATTTATTTCTTAGTTAAAGCGCCTGTGATCTGTCTGAGAAATGTCCATGCAGGGGTCTGTGCTGGCTGTGGGGAAATGCCTCGCCTGCCTGGAATTTATGCGTAAGTCCAACAGTATTTGTCTTTTGGCGATGTTTGGATTTCACATGTGGACCTTGTTAATCAAGTTCTTGCTTAAAATCTCTCAGAAAAGGGGTAATGCATTTGAGTTCAGGATTAATGCCATCCATGTTTGCTGTTATGTTAATGATGCTGGGGTTCTTGTCCTCTCTGCCTTGTCCTCTGATCGTGAAAAACGAGCCTTTTTTTCTCTTCTTTTGCCACATCCAATGGAAAAAAAGGCTCTGCCCCGAGGGTGGGATTTCGACTTTAGTGGATGCAGTAGTGTTTTTATTCGGTTACTGCAGGAATGTGCAGAGGAAGGGACTGGGGCTGTTTGGTACAATAGGGACGGGCCCGATTTGGGAATAATTATGGAATTATAAATTTTCTATACCCCCCCAAAAAAATCTAATACATCTCCGGAACACCTTCATCTGAGCCTACAATGATCCCATCGGACACATCGAGCTGAAAGGTCAGAGCAGGTTTCTGTGTGTCCTGATAGAACCTCCGTTAGTTAGTCTGGCAGCAGTTTCCCATCATTGCAGCGCAGTTCCACCGACTCTGACAGAGTGTTGCTCTTTCTGAAAAACTGTCTAATGTTTCAGTAAACTCACTCCCCTTCCTCTAGTGAAAGGACCCTGGAGGTTTTTACTCGTAAGTCACTCCCATTTTTTGGAATTGGACATGTCTTTGCCAAATAGTAGTTCCGAAACAAAAGTAATAAACACGCTCACAGAATAGGGTATTGAACCTCTAGTGCTATGGCGCTGTTTTTGCACATGTTTTTAAGCGCAGCATCCGAGTTTTGTTTACGCATGCCCAAATCCTGCGTGCGTAATAATAATAATAATACTATATTCTTATTTGGTATATATGTTCTTATTAATTTTTTTCTTTTTCATGCTTTTTTCCTCTACCCCCCCCCCCCCCCCCCAAAAAAAAAAAAAAAAACAAGTTACAGTTACATTTATTAAAAACATTATTAGGAAAATAAAGAACCACACAATACCTTGCACATGCGCAGTTTGTACACATTACAGCACTGTCAGAACAGCACTCTGGTCTTGAGTGAAACCATAGCTAATCTGATTTCCAATTCATTGTCATTGCTTCTAGTGGAAAAAATGCAAACAAACTAATCTATCCATTAAATGGTCTACAGGCTTAAATAAATACACTCAACAGAGGACACATTTCAGATGCTGAACATTTTCCCATGTTCTTTTCCAAGGTTACATCTTATTGATATTTCTTTTCTCTTGTCTTGATTTGCATAGGCCTGTATTTGGTGTTGAGGTAATCCAAAAGTAACAGAAAGTAATCAAGTTACATTACTTTGATCTACATAATGTGTAGGCTATTGCTGATAATTCTTCACTTTTACTTAAGTAACATTTTAAATGCTTTTTACTTGTGTAAGAGTGTGACATTGCTACTGTTACTCAACATATCTTCTTGATAACCTTTTCCACCACTGATTGCTGATCTTGATAAGTGATATTATTGATATTATATATTATTACCATTAGTATTAGCTTAATTTGTCTCGCACTTAACAGTTCCAAAGCCCCTTACAATGAAAGACAATCAAATAAAACTAAGCAAGCTAAAATCAACTTTAAAAATTAGGTTACTAGAAGTGATTTAAGTGAGTTATTCTAGAGACTGTGACAGCAAATTCTCTGAAATGATTGCATCTAAATCTTGATCTCAGAACAACAAGAAGTCAACCATGAAGACTTCAAGGAGAGAGGAGGAACATGCACAGTTAGACACACAAAGACCTTTAAGCAAAGACTCCTTCTGGCTCCAAAGTAATTACTATAACTTGGTAATCAGAACACCAACAGGGCCACGCCAAGATGTGTGAAATATGACATTTCTTGATTTTAGTACAGCAGCTGAAAATTTCATAAGCTGTAAACAGGAGAGTTGTTTTTTTTTTTACTGACGTCAAGCAGGCAGCACCAGTCCCATTGCGAGAGTTCATTTTAATTGGATACAGCCTGTTATTTTAAGAATTCAGGGTAATATGATATGCATATGGACATAATCTGGACGTTATAAGGGTTGTTTGTTTGTTTGGGACACATACATTTTTTGACACAGTTTGATGCAGTGTTTTCATTTGCTTTTTTTGGAACGTGACACTCAAAATCAATGACTTATTTTTTGCCTAGAAGATTAACTCACAGCCCATATCTGCATAACTGAAGGGTATAGCACTCACCTCTACCGTAATAAGTCCAGTTTTGATCTTGCAATTTAATATTTATAGCTAATGATGACCAAGCAAACAAGTTCTGGTAATGTATTAATTTAAGTGGGGGGAGGGTCACTGAACAAGCACAGGGTTTGAATAGTTTGTTGAAGTGGGCCTGTTTTCAGGGCTTGTGTTGAATGTGTGGAACTGAAATATCTTTTGTGTTTAACGTCACACTGCTTTGGGTGTGGATTAACTCAAACAAGACAAAAAAGGCCTTTGCAGAAATATGTTGGGATAGAAAGCTGTGTTGACACAAACTGGATGTTTATCCTGTGCAGAAAAAAAACAGGATGTCCTCCCTGTTCACAATTTGGACAAAGGAGTATCCCCACATGGAGGCTCTCATTTATCGAAGACATGTGATGTAGTAAAAGTAAGTCAAAGGCAACTGGTCTTCCTGTAACCTTGAGGACATTTAGTCATAGAGGAGGCTCCAAGTTATGCTGCGTGATGTTGAGTAATGTCCTGTATTTAATTGTGGGTGAGTGACATAACTGGCTGGGTCACTGAGGTCATTGATGTCATGAGTCATTATGTGAGTATTGTTTTTAGCTATAACAGCGTAGTGGCTCTAGGGATAGCAATGTCATTCTTTCAGTCAGTCCACCACTTTGGTTCAGACTGAAATATCTCAACTGATATTTGATAGATTGCCATGAAAGTTTCTACAGACATTCATGGTCAAATGTCAAAGTCTTGCTTTTTCTATAGCGTCTTCATCAGTTCACAATTTCCTTTTTAACAGTATTATTTCCACAAGATTTGGTTTTATAACTACACCGAACTAATGATATTTTCCTCAGCCTCAGCTGCAATCTGTGCTTAGTGCAATAAAAGAAAAGTAATGGGACCATAACATTACATTACACTTAATGGCAATCCATAAAACAGTTCTGCCCCACAAAGCCAATACACACAACAACACAACTAATTGTTGGGCCTAAATTGAGTGACTAGAATCTGACTTTTTGATATTTGTTTTACTATGAAAAATTTTATTGTGCGTTATTGTAAGAGAAATTCCTTAGTGTAATGACTCATGAAGACCATTGGTGGTGGAAAGAAACTAAGTTTACTTAAAGACTGTACTTTAGTGCAATTTTAAAATACCTGTACTTTACTTGAGGATTTCCAGGTTATGCTACTTTATACTTACTGTACTTAAAGATTAAGTTACTAATTACTTTGCAAATTCAGATTATGAATACAACATACATCTTGATGTATTATTACACTGTGAAGTACCAGGCAGTATGTACCACACAATGAACCAGTCTTATAATATATATTATGTTGTTGTTGTTTTTTTATGTTTTTTATGTTTGTAGTTTTGAATGCATGACTTTGACTTGTAACAGATTATTTCTACACTGTGGTTTTGCTATTTTCTTTACTTCTTACACCACTGCGGCCATGGCTGCAGCACCTCCTTAAAATCAGACACAGTTAATAAAAACATCAGTTAAACATTTTGACCTTTCCATTCTTAATGGGGTTTATATGCATAGTGTACTAGTATTTTGTACTTTGTATTTGTAGGAAACAACCTAAAAACAGTTAAGGCAAGGCATTTGGGATCTATCCCATGCCAACACACTGAGATGTTTTAGGGAGTTTAGAGTGTCCCGCTGAATCAAAGTAACCAAAGATGTCAGGGCACATGGTCTGACAGACAGAGAGTACAGTATGTAAGGTAACTGCAATTACTGCCACTGTACAGTGACACATATAGGTCATTAGCACAACAGGATATGTGATTTGGTTGATATATCTAGATTCTGAAATATATCTGGGAACTAGAGGTTGCTCTACTTTTTTTTAGGTTTTTTATATATATAGTATTAATTCGTCACAGCATTTAGTATGACTTAAATAGACTTCAAGCAGTCTGGCTAACATGGCAAAAAACAAGC